CAATATTGGGAGCACAGAAAATACACACTGAAAGGGACCTAAACCTCAGGGCTTCTGCTCCAGCAGCTTGGGACCCAACACTTCCTTGGATAGGGTGGTATTGGCCACTAAGCAGAGAAGCCCTGGCTCACACCTTGCTCTGGCTCTAGCCACTCCATCTCCAGCCCCATCACTTACTAAGGTGATAACTGCCAGCACACCCTGGGGGAAGATGTGACTTCTGCTTCCTATAGATCCAGCTCTCCCACCAAAGCCACTGGGCACACAAAGACTGCATAAGGATACTCCCACACAAGGACACCACTTCAAGACTGGGATAGGTAACCATTTCATTTAATTTCACAGATATAGAAAAAGTGAAGCAAAATTAGAGGACAGAGGAATCTGGTTCAAATGAAAGAAAAGGAAAAAAATGAAAAAACAACTAATGAAACAGATAAATAATTTACCAGATAAAGAACTCAAAGTATTAGTAATAAGAATTGTAATTAAATTATGGAAAATAATAGATGAACACAGTGAGAATTTTCACAAGGAACTAGAAAATATAAAAAAAGAATTAGCCATAACTAAAGAATACAATAACTGACATGAAAAACACACTAGAAGGAATTAACAGCAGACGAGGTGATACAGAAGAAGGCATAAGTGATCTGGAAGATAGAATAATGGAAATTACCCTTAAGAACAGCAAACAGGAAAACAAATTTTAAAAATGAGAACATATTAAAGGACCTCTGAGACAACATCAAGTGTAAAAACTAGTACAAATAATCCTAAAATTTATATAGAACCACAAAAGAATGAAGGATAAAAATAATAAAATCATCTCAATAGGAACAGGAAAAAAGCATTTGACAAAATTCATCATCCTTTCATGATTAAAAATTATCAATGAATTAGGTATAGAAAAAGGTCCCTCAACTTAATAAAGATCCTATATGACAAGCCCATATCTAACATCACACTTAATGGTGAAAGTCTGAAAGCTTTTCCTTTATGATAAGAAACAAGGCAAGGATGTTCACTCTTATGACTTCTACTCAACATAGTACTATATAGTCCTAGCTAAAGAAACTAGCCAAGAAAAAGAAATAAAAAGCATCTAAATCAGAAAGGAAGAAGTAAAATTGTCTTTGTTAGCAAATGACATGATCTTATATGTGGAAAACCCTAAAGACTCCACCAAAACCCTGCTAGAACTAGTAAATGAATGTAGTGAAACTGCAGGATACAAAATCAACAAACTAAAATTCAGTTACATTTCTATATGCTAATAAACTATCTGAAAGGGAAATTAGGAAACAATATCATTTACAATAGCATCAAAAAGAAAAAATACTTATAAAAATTGAGGAGATGAAAAATATGTACACTGAAAACTTTAGAACATTGGTAAAAGAAATTAAAGAAGATACAAACAAATGGAAAGATATCTCATGGTCATGGATTGGAAAAATTAATATTGTTAAAATGACCTTGCTACCCAAAGTGATCTACAGATTCAGTGTAATCTCTATCAAAATTTGAATGCTATTTTTCATAAAAATAGAAAAAATTGTAAAATGTTTATGGAACCACAAAAGAGTGAATACCCAAAGCAATCTTGAGCAAGAAGAACAAAGCTGGAGGCATCACACTTCTTGGTTTTAAACTCTATTACAAAGCTATTGTAATCAAAGCAGTATGGTGCTGGCATAAAAACAGACACATAGTCCAATGAATCAGAACATGGTCTAGAAATAAGCCCACACATAGGCAATCTACTAATCTTTGACAAGAGTGAATACACAATGGGGCTCCTGGGCATATATCCAGAAGGAATCCTACTAAAGAAGACATCTACACCCCAAGGTTCATAGCAGCACTATTTAATTAAAACAGCCAAGACATGGAAACAGCCTAAATGTCCATTGACAGATGACTGGATAAAGAAGATGTGGTATATTTATACAATGGAATACTATTCAGCCATTAAAAATGACAACATAACGCCATTTGCAGCAACATGGATGTCCCTGGAGAATGTCATTCTAAGTGAAGTAAGCCAGAAAAAGAAAGAAAAATACCATATGAGATCGCTCATATGTGGAATCTAAAAAAAAAAAAGAAGAAGAAGAAAGAAAAAGGCAAATGAACATGAATACAAAACAGAAACAGACTCATAGACATATAATACAAACCTGTGGTTGCCAGGGGGAGGAGGGTAGGAAGGGACAGACTAGGAGTTTGAAATTTGTAGATACTGACAGGCATATGCAGAATAGATAAACAAGATTATACTGTACAGCACAGGGAAATATATACAAGATCTTGTGGTAGCTCACAGTGAAAAAGAATGTGACAATGAATATATATATGTTCATGTATAACTGAAAAATTGTGCTCTACACTGGAAATTGACACAACATTGTAAACTGGCTATAACTCAATTTTAAAAAGAGTGAATACACAATGTGGAAATGATAGTCTCTTTAATAAATGATTCTGGGAGACCTGGATATCCTCATGCAAAAGAATGAAATTGGACCCTTATATTACATCAAACAAAAATCGACTCAAAATGGATTAAAAACATAAATGTACAACCTGAAACTATAAAACTCCTATAAGAAAACATAGGGTAATGCTCCTTAACATTAGTCTTGATAATGATATTCTGAATATGATACCAAAAGCAAATGAAACAAAAGCAAAAATAAATATGTGGAATTATATCAAACTAAAAATGTTTCACACAGCAAACAATCAACAAAATGAAACAGCAACCCATAGAACAGGAAAAATATTTGTAAACTATATTTCTGATAAGGGATTAACCTCAAATATATAAGGCACTTATACAATTAATTCAATAGCAAAAAAAATCTGATTAAAAAATGGAAAGAACCTGGATAGTCATTTTTCCAAGGAAGACATACAAATGGCCAACAGATATCCAAAAAATGTCCTCAACATCACTAATCATCAGGGAAATGTAAATCAAATAATGAGATATCACGTCACACCTGTTAGGATGGTTATTATCAAAAAGATAAGAGATAACAAGTGTTGGTGAGAGTGTAGATAAAAAAGGAACCCTTGTGCACTGTTGGTGGAATTGTAAACTGTTTCAGCCACTATGGAAAACAGTATGAGGTTCCTCAAAAAATTAAAAATAGAACAAATTATATGTTCCAGCAAACCTATTTCTGGGTATATATCCAAAGGAAATGAAAAATGTTACTAAAGAAACATATGCACTCCCATGTTTATTGCAGCATTATTCACAATAGTCAACATACATGTAAAATGCTACTCAGTCATGAGAAAAAAAATAGAAATTCTACCATTTGCAACAACATGGATGGACATTGAGGACATTATGCTAAGTGAGTTAAGTCAGAGGAAGACAAAATACTGCATATCTCTTACATGTTGAATCTAAAAAAACAGATATTGTTAAAGCAGACAGCAAAATTTTGGCTACCAGGAGCTGGGGAGTCAGGGTTGGGAAAATGAGAGAGATGTTGTTTAAGGGTACATACTTCCAACTAGTAGATAAATAAGTCTTGGAGATCTAATACACAGTACAGTGATTACAGACAACAAAACTGTATTATAAACACTAAACTTGCTAAGACATTAAATCTTATTTGTTCCCAACACTAGAAGGAATTATAATTATATGATGTGATACAGGTTGTTAGCCAATGCTAAAATGGCAAGCATATTGCAAATTAATATGTTGTACACCTTAAATTTACACAATGTTGTATGTCAAATATATCTGAATAAATAATAATTGTCAAAAAATGGCAACCATGTGAGGGGATAGATGTCATAATTAGCTTGATTGTGGTAATCATTTCACAATGTATATGCATATCAAATCACGTTGTACACCTTAAGTGTATATATATATATATTTGGCAATTATATCGCAAAAAGTTGAAAAAATATTTAAGTATCCTTGTCAGAACCTTAGGCCACAAATCATTAATTGAGCTATTAAAATAAATATTGCAACTGAAATGAATCTGCATTTCATTACATCATGAATTTAGTAATATCAACCATGAAGTTAACTTAATCTGAAAGGAAACAACAAAGTTCTTACCTGTTCAGGAAATTTACTGCATATATAACCATGAAAAAGGATAGAGAGCAACATGGGTCTCAGCAAAATCACAAATTTCTTCATGTCACAGACCTTTGGAAATCATTAAACAGTAAGTATCAAATACATAAAAGTCAAATGCTTACTATACTTCTCTTATTGTACTGAAGTCATTGAATACCTAGTGCCCTGATGAGAACATGAGATTCTTGGGGACAGACCCCCTTTTTGTCATTCTTTTATACCAAAGTTGATCTAACACAAAGCAACCACTCCAAAAACATTTGTTGAATTAAATTGCCTCCTAATAATTAGTCTCTCTGGTTCCAGGCCATCCTCTATAAAATCCTGCCAGTTCTTTTACAAAAATACAAGTCTGATAATGTCACTTTATTGTCCTAAACATTTAATGGCAGTTCATAATCTGCTTTACAGGATTACGTCCACATACCCTGGCAGGTCTATAAGGACCTTCACACCCTGTACTCAGCCTGTATTCCTAGCCTCACTCCCAGCCTCTCCTCTTCACACACCCTATCCTCAAGCCACACTGACTGTTCCTTGAACACTTTTGGAATTTCATTACCCCATGTCTTTGCAAATGCTGTTTCCTCTGTCTGAAAGGTCCTTCCTGCATCTTCTTGGCAAACTCTTATTGTTAAAGCTCAGCTTAAATGTCACTATTTTTGTAGCTTTTCCTGATCCCTCACAGAATTAATGTCTCCTTCACTCGTTTTCTCTGTACCAATATATTTATTCTGAAAATGGACTAAGCTAAATCAGGGGGAATAGAAGAAGAGAAGGAAGGAGGGAGTGCCCTGTCAATGGACTTACCCAAGCAGCAACTGCGGCACTACGTGTTAAGCATATTGTTCAAGAAGCAGTGGGAGGAGGGGGCTGGATGACCTTTAAGTCATGAGATGCTATGGTTCGCATCTTCACACTGCATGTACGTGTGCTTCTGTAGGGGGGGAGCACTGAGAGGGAGGGGACAAAGAGACAGAAACAGAGACAGAGATCAGAGAGGAGATTGGGGGACGCAGTGCAGTAATAGCAATGGGCGGACCCAAATTTCTTCCGCTTTACAGTTTTGCAGAGGTCTAACTCTGCATCTTAGTGCTGTAGCAAGGGGGTGGGAGAGGAGGAAAGGGGAGGGACTGCACTCCCTCTGAGCATACCCAGCTTCGACTGCCTGACGGATCACCTTCCGCTCCAACACAGCCAGTTCCTCCTTGCCGTGACTCATGCCTATTGTGCCAGGCAGGGCGCACTCTGCCCTGCAGCCCCACAGGTGGTGTCGACTTGGGGAGACGGTTCCCGCCAGGCTAGGCAGTGGAGCGCCGCACAACGCGCCTTCCCGCCTCTCAGCTGCTGCCCTAGCAGTTCCGACCCAGCGCCAGCAGGCCTGCTCGGTCGATCTTCGAGCCGAAGATGCGGCGGGGCTGGAAGATGGCTCTGTCCGGGGGGCTACGGTGCTGCCGCCGGGTACTTTCCTGGGTGCCAGTGCTCGTTATCGTCCTCGTCGTGCTCTGGTCCTACTATGCCTACGTCTTTGAACTCTGCCTGGGTAAGTGGAGATGGCACCTAAGGTGGGGAAATTATGCTTCAGCACAGTCGTCTGCCCTACCCTTCACACTGGTGTCCCCTGTGTTCTTAGCCCTCATACTGCGGTTTTCCATAAGCTCCCAGGAGAGCTCCCTGTCTCCAACCTCTGACTTTACACGATATTTCTTGTGCCCTCCCACCATATCGCCATCGCTTCCTACCCAGGGTTTCTTTCATTATTTCCTAGCCCTACCCACAAGAATTTACTGGTTCTTTCCACTAGGGCCCCCTTTTCTCATACAGGACAACCACTTGTGTCTTGTGTTCTCGTTCTGGTGACTCCCGTACTACTGAATTGAGGAAACAACATACCCTGTATCCTTAAACTGTCCACTTGCGCTATAAATCCCACCAATTCATCCAACTAGAAGCCCCACATTTTCCCATTCCCTCCTCCTAGGGAATCCCAAAATATTTCCTTTACTCTTTTACTAGCTCTCATTTATTCAACACTAGGATTTCTCCTTTTCCCGTGATCCTCTCACTCAGGCTGAAGTGCTTCACATCTTCTGCCACTTGAGACCCCACAGTACCCTCTTGTTCTATCCTACTGGAGTCTCCCCTTTTTGCAAAGTGATAAACCCTCCATTCCTCTTTCCCTGTAGGTCTCACCATTTTCTCATCTTCTCCAATGGAATGGGAATCCTACAATACATCCTGTCCTGTCCCCTCACACTAGAGGCCCTGGGTTTGCTCTCCTTAGTCTCCTGCCTTCCTGCTTTGAGGAGCATTCACTCCTTCCCATTGGGGGCCCCACATTATTTTCTGACAACTTCCTTTGTCCACTGTCTTCTCACATAGAGTGTCTGTCCTCTTTACCCTCCTACAAGGTTTCCCACAGTATCTCCCATACCCCTTCCAAAACCTGTTGCTTTTCTAAAATTATCTCCTCTTGCTGTCTTTTTTGAAACCTACTCCCCACCTTCTGCAGTCCTCTTCCACTATTAGCCCCACATTTTGCCATTCTGTTCCTCAGGGGTTTCTTATTATTTTCTCTTACTTTCCTCTAGGATTGCACTTGTCCCTTGCCTTCTCAAACTAGGGAAACACCATCCTTTCCCACTGAGGTTTCTAGTATTTCCTGTTCCTTCCAATGGAAGCCTCATTTCTTGTCCCCTCTCATTAGATTACCCCTTTATAAATCTAAGGTCTCCTCTTGTACCCTGTCCTGTAATGCCAGGGAGCATTTCATCTCCTCCAAATCTATAAAATGGTTCCCACAGTATATCTAATGCTTTCAAACTCAGAATTCCACACAATTTCCTGACACAAACCCTAAGACCCTATCTGTATTTTCCCAATTTGGATTACGCCCCTTAGTCCCCTACCTTTATCACTAATAGCCTTATATTTTTCTAATCAATTCATAATGGAGTTTTTATACTATAGTTTGTTTCCTCACAACAGAACCTCTGCTTTTCTCACAGTGAAATCTCCCCTTCTCACACTGAAGAATCTCCATCTCTTTTCAAAGGAGATTCCACTAATAGTTATTGTCCCTTCAGTACTAGAATTCAACTTCTAGCACACCCTTAAACTTGTGTCCTACAATGTTTCCTATTCATTCAGTGTGAGGTCCAAGTATATCTCTAATCCCCTCACATTAGGACTCCCCTTTATCTTACCGGGCATCCCCTCATTCCCAAGTCCTTCCAAGACTCCTATATTTCTTCATATCAGATTCTTCTCATCTTAAAAATTAAGACTGGGTTCATGCTTTCCCTAACCCCAGGATCTGACTCCACTTATAATTTCCATCTCTTACATACTTGACAGTGCAATAGTCTACTCCAGGTAGACTAGGATTAACTAGGGAAGCAGGGGATAACCCTCTTTTCCAATATAGAAATTTCTTCTAATCAACTCTGTGTATCAAAGTTTGAATTTTTCTCATCTCCTTCTTAGAGTTATTATGGAAAAAACAGAGTTATTAAAAAATAAATTCAATTATTTGCCTTCGTAGATATAAATTTAGGCTGTTTTTCATTTTTATCTCAATCTGATAAAAAGGTGCATTAAATGGGCTATGCAATGGCTGGGAAGTTTTTCTATTCTCAGACTTCACCACTTTGCTTTATTGAATGATTGATTGAAGAGTTAAAAGTTCAGCTCCATTATTACTGCTCCTAGGATCAATGCCATACAGTAAACACTATCAAACATATTTCAGAGTTTTTCATTATTGACCTACATGAGCTTTGCCAAGTAAGCATTTTAAAAATTAATCATGGCTAACATTTAAATAGTGCTTAATCTTTGCCAATGTTCTAAGTACTGTAAATATATTAACTCTCTATATTAACTTATTTAATCCTAACAATAACCATACAAACCAGGTATCATTATTATCTCCATTGTGCAGATAGGCAAACTGAGGTAAAGACCAAATTAGAATTAGTGCAAATAATCAGCTTTCTACAAGTTCTTATTAAGTCATATAATGGTAAAACCTGAAAGGAAACTTATAGTTCATTTATTGTTTTATTTCACATATTTGCAGAGCATTTATTAAATGCCAGGCACTGTTTTAAATGACTACACACACACACAAACTTAATCCTCATAACAAATTTATGAGGTATCATTATGATTATGTTCATTTTGAAGAAAAGAAAACTGAGGCACAGACATATTAAGAAGCTTGCCTAAAGTCACAGAGCTATTAAATGGCCAAACATGATGTCAGCCCAGGCAGTATGGCTCCACAGTCCATGCTTTAACCACCATAATATCTTACTTAATTCTCTGCCTCCTTTCTACTAACACAGAGGTCAAAACTGGTGACTCACAGGCCACTTGTAGCCTAGAGAAGTGTTTCATTTGGCCTGCACAGTGTTTTCTTAACATTTTCCATCAGACACCATTATTTAAAAACCAAGAGAATAAGATAGCTTTGATTTCCAATTCTGATTTCACCAGTCCATTCTGTTCTCTTTATTTTACAGTCTTTAACAACTGAGTGGCCTTAGTTTCAGGAAGGTTAAATCAAATTTTCCTAAAGTAACATGTTTAGTAAATAATGGAGAATTGGATATTAAAGCTGTCTGATAACCAGAGGAACACAACCAAAATAACAGATTTGAGTTTCAGTATGACTCAAAAAGTCATATTACGGACCTAACTTTTTTCTAGAAACAGAACTTGATGTCTTTCTCCCTAATGTCAGGTTAGAGCTGAAGTGAAAAATGGTATTTTTGCTTTATAAATCTTAGAATTTGGATTCTGTCACTTACTAATTAGGACACCTGAGGCAAGTTATCTAATCTGTTTCAACTTCAGTTGCTTCACATGCACTTTGCTTATATGCTTGTTCATTCATATGACAAATACTTCCTTAGCACTCACTATATGCCGTTATAGCATTGTTGTGAGATTTAAATAATATACTGCATGAAAAGCATGCATCACAGTAGACAGCACATTATAAGAGCTCATTAAATAGTAACTTGTTATTATGATTATTAATGAGGATATAAGTGATTCTGCTCGACTCAAAATATAAGAAGTTTAGACTTTTAGAGGGAGAAAAGTAACAGTATCCATTTTTTTAGGTATAATTCACATAATGTAAACCTAACCATTTTAAAGTGTTCAATTTAGTGACATTTAGTACATTCACAGAGTTGTACAACAATCACTAATTTCTAGTTCCAAAGCACATTCATCACTCCAGAAGAAAACCTCATAGGTTTTAAACTATCACTCCCCATTCACTCCTTCCCATAGTCCCTACCAACCACTAATTGGTGTTCTGTCTCTATGGATTCTGTATGTTTTGGAGAAATAGCATCATACAATGTGCGTCCTTTTGTGCCTAGCTTCTTTCAATTGGTGTAGTGTTTTTGAGGTCTATCCACATTGTACTGTGTAACAGTACTTCATTCCTTTTAATGACTGAATGATATCCCATTGTATACCATACTTTATCCATTCATCTGTTGATGGTTGATGGACATTTGGGTTGTTTCCACCTTTTATCTATTCTGAATAATGTGGCTATAAACATCCCTGTAAAAATATTTGTTTAAATACGCGTTTTCAATTCTTTTGAGTAAATACTAGGGAGAAGGGTGGTAACTGCTGGGCTGTATGTTAATTCTATATTTAACTTTTTGAGAAACATCCAAATTATTTTCTACAATGGCTGCACAATCTTACAATCATACCAGCAACATAGGAGGGTTCCAACTTCTCCACATCCTCACCAACACTTGTTATTTTCCTTTTTTATTATAGCCATCATAGTGGGTATGACGTGATATTTCAGTGTGATTTTGATTTGCATTTCCCTGGTGACTAGTAATGATGAGCATCTTTTCATGTGTTTCTTGGCCATTTGTATATGTTCTTTAAAGAAATGTCTATTCAAGTCCTTTGTCCATTTTTAATTAGGTTATTTATCTTATTGTTGTTGAATTATAAGATTTCCTTATATATTCTGAAAACTCAACCCTTGTCAGATAAATGATTTGTAGATATTTTCTCCCATTCTGTGAGTTCTTTTTTCATTTCCTTGAAAGCAGTATCATTTGTTACACAAAGTTTTAACTTCGATAAAGTTCAGTTTATCTATTTTCTTTGATTGTTGCCTATGCTTTTGGTATCATATCTAAGAATCCATCACCGAATGTAAGTTTATAAAGATTTAACCCTTTGTTTTCTTCTAAGAATTTTATAGTTTTAACTCTTACATTTAGGTGTTTGAGTTGATATTTATATACGGTGAGAGGAAGGAGTCCAGGTTCATTCTTTTATATATGGCTATGCAGTTGCCCAACATCATTTATAAAAGAGACTCTTCTTACCCCATTGAATAGTCTTGACCTAATTATCAAAAACCAATTGTTTATTTTTGCTTTTATTTCTATTGCCTGGGTAGACTGCTCTAGGAGAACATTGCTGAGATTTATGTCAGATAATGTTTTGCTTGTTTTCTTCTGAGGTTAATAGTGTCTTATGTTC